GCCGAACCTGAAGACGTTTGGTGCGTCGGAATGTGATATACCAGAATTATATCCAGGTAACAGGGACGACGTTACTGTAAATCTCACTCTAATCAATTTGAATAATATATTTGAAGAACACATTAAAGTGGACAAGGATATGAGCATGTGTGTTTTGTGTGTGTGTGAGTTATCATCATCCATCTAAAAAAAAACAACTCAAAACGTTTCTGCAGGAGTCTTCGACCACCAGGTCTCCTTGAGGAACGTGTATCTGCAGCAGAACCGCTTGACCAGAATCCCCAGCGGCGCCTTCCGTACCTCTGGACAGACGATCTTCCACATCGTGCTATATATATATATATATATATATATATATATATATATATATATATATATATATATATATATATATATATATATATATATATATATATATATATATATATATATATATATATATATATATATATATATATATATATATATATATATATATATATATATATATATATATATATATATATATATATATATATATATATATATATATATATATATATATATATATATATATATATATATATATATATATATATATATATATATATATATATATATATATATATATATATATATATATATATATATATATATATATATATATATATATATATATATATATATATATATATATATATATATATATATATATATATATATATATATATATATATATATATATATATATATATATATATATATATATATATATATATATATATATATATATATATATATATATATATATATATATATATATATATATATATATATATATATATATATATATATATATATATATATATATATATATATATATATATATATATATATATATATATATATATATATATATATATATATATATATATATATATATATATATATATATATATATATATATATATATATATATATATATATATATATATATATATATATATATATATATATATATATATATATATATATATATATATATATATATATATATATATATATATATATATATATATATATATATATATATATATATATATATATATATATATATATATATATATATATATATATATATATATATATATATATATATATATATATATATATATATATATATATATATATATATATATATATATATATATATATATATATATATATATATATATATATATATATATATATATATATATATATATATATATATATATATATATATATATATATATATATATATATATATATATATATATATATATATATATATATATATATATATATATATATATATATATATATATATATATATATATATATATATATATATATATATATATATATATATATATATATATATATATATATATATATATATATATATATATATATATATATATATATATATATATATATATATATATATATATATATATATATATATATATATATATATATATATATATATATATATATATATATATATATATATATATATATATATATATATATATATATATATATATATATATATATATATATATATATATATATATATATATATATATATATATATATATATATATATATATATATATATATATATATATATATATATATATATATATATATATATATATATATATATATATATATATATATATATATATATATATATATATATATATATATATATATATATATATATATATATATATATATATATATATATATATATATATATATATATATATATATATATATATATATATATATATATATATATATATATATATATATATATATATATATATATATATATATATATATATATATATATATATATATATATATATATATATATATATATATATATATATATATATATATATATATATATATATATATATATATATATATATATATATATATATATATATATATATATATATATATATATATATATATATATATATATATATATATATATATATATATATATATATATATATATATATATATATATATATATATATATATATATATATATATATATATATATATATATATATATATATATATATATATATATATATATATATATATATATATATATATATATATATATATATATATATATATATATATATATATATATATATATATATATATATATATATATATATATATATATATATATATATATATATATATATATATATATATATATATATATATATATATATATATATATATATATATCCTTATCGTAGAGGTTGCTGAAGGCGCCTTCCCAGGTGAATAGGAGCTCGTTTGTTCTTGTTATTTCGTACAGTCGGATTGGGAATCTCATCTCTCTGTTCCCTTAATCCTTTCTCCTCTCTCTCTCTCTCTCTCTCTCTCTTCCTCTCTCTCTTTCAGCCTATGCGTAACTTCAAAGATTTTATTTTGAAGTTTATTGTTCTGCTGCAAGTGAAACAAAAGAACAATGTCGTTTTCACTTGAGGAAATATAACACTTCTATTAGGGAAAAAATAACCACATAAGACTGCTTAACGTGCTTTTTCACATCGAGCCTTTCTTCCCCCGTCTACTTCCCGCTCAGACATGAAGGAACACACATCCATTTACATGTATAACAATCGGTTACGCCTTTTGGAAGAAGCTGTGTGGCGCCCCCTCTTGGAGAATGACGTCACAGTCTGGCTCTCTGGTAAGTACACATGGGGAGAAGTTGATAATGTTTAAGCCACTGAATGTTGTTATTGCGTCTCTCGTCAAAGATGAATTGAAGTCATTTTACTTTTTCTTTTCTTTTCATATTAATGTTGTTATTTAGTCATTGCCCATAAACTGAAAGGGATAAATTTGAAGCAAAACATATTTTACGATTCATCAAACTTTGTGATACTGCCTCAAAGCCAAAGATCAGCTTCAGGTACTATTTATCTAACGAAGTTTTAAAATCTCAACAAACGAAACTCAAAAAAAGAGAAAAAAATGACCAATCTGTAAATTTTAGAATATAATTAACGTGACCTACAAAAGATAAGATTGTTTACCATAGACACCCAATCCCATATCTTCTGTATAAACATAATCATATCCTTAGCCCTTTAATTATGAACGTAATAATCGTGCCACACCCCCCACCCCCCACCCCACACCCAGGCAATCCCCTGACCTGTGGGTGCGACGCAGCGTGGGCGGTTCTCAACCCTGACCTCCTGCGCCAGCTCCCCAACGCCCACTGCGAGAGCGGGGTTGACCTGGCTGACCTAGACCCGGGAATCTTTGACTCCTGCTGACCTGTAGGACTCTCAGATCAATCAGTTAAACCTCGGGGAATATTTGGAGGGAAGGAAGAGATAAGTAATGAAGGAAGATATAAATAAAACATGTAGAACACCAAATATTGATTGATTCTTGTTTGTTGTATGTGCAATCAGTGATTGTACATGATTATCAGCATCAGTAGCGTATACACACACACACACACACACACACACACACACACACACACACACACACACACACACACACACACACATATATATATATATATATATATATATATATATATGTATGTATATATATGTGTATATGATATATGTATGTATGTGTATATGTATATGTATGCGTATATCTATCTATCTATCTATTTATCCATCTGTATAGTGTGTGTATGTATGAGTGTGTGTATACAGACACACATAATTATGATGATTATATTAATAACAATAATGAAAATGATAATAGTAATAATAACAATAACACTAATAATGATAATAATAATAATAATTATTATTATTGTTATTATTATTATAACAACAATAATAAAAAAACAGTAATAATAACAATAACAATAATAACATTAATGACAACACTAATAATAGTGATAAAAAAATAATGATAATAATAATTATAATAACAATAATAATAATAGTGATAATAATAATGATAATAATAATAACAACAATAATAATGATAATAATAATAATAATAATAATAATAATAATGATAACAATAACAATAATAATTATAATAATAATACTAATAATAGTAATAATAATAATAATGATAAAAACATATAATGATTATAATAGTAATAATAACAATAATAATGATAATGAAAATAATAATGATAATAACAAACGTATGATTATTAATATTTTCATTATTTCCATTAATATTGTTATTAGTAGTCTTATCAATATTATTATCATCATTATTATTATTAGTATTACCATTATTATCAATAGTAACAATAACACCATTAACACCAATGATGACAATGATAATAGTTAATCGTAATAATTATAATAAAAACAAAGATTTGTCCCTTGTACGTTCTTATGTGAAAACCTCAGTCTGTTTCTTTATATTTTTAAAAATTCAGTTTAGGTATGTTGAAAAAAATGTTTCTTCGTGTTTTTTTATTATTGTTATCTGTGTATCCTGTGTGAAAGGGACAAGTGGCGGCGCTTGGGGTATTATTGGCACTGTATTTTTTGTTCGTTCGTTGTTTATGTTATTTGTTTTGTTTTTGTCTCTATCTCTCTGGCCCATTTTCTTTCTTACTCTCATTCTCTCTCTTTTCTTTATTTTTTTCTCTCTCTCTCCCTTCCCCTCATCCTCTCCTTCTCCTTTTTCTTCTGTCTGTCTGTCTCTTTATGCCGCTGTCTCTCTCTTTTCTTTTCTCTCTCTCTCTCTATCTATTTCGCTCCCTCTTTCTCTTTTTACTCTAAATATACCTCTCTCTACCTCCCTTCCTTTTCTCCTCTCTCCTTACGTTCCTCTTATAAGCAATATACCTATCTTCTGTCTCTATCTCTCTTTATCAGTTTATCTGCCTGTTTATTTCTTTTCCTTACCACTCTCTTAAATATCTCTTTTTAGCTCTTAATCTATCTGTCTGTTTCCTTTGATCTCTCTTTATTTGTATAAATAGAAACTCA